GTTTTCAATTGGCTGCGATGGTATGTCAACGCTCGCAATGTTTACCTCGTTCGGCGAACATTGATAATCAAATTGCACCCTTGTCGTTTGTCCGTCATGTCTGTTCTGCGCTCACTAGAACCGTCGTTTCGTCTTTTTCGTCTCATTCGCCAGTCGCCAGGCTGAGCGAATCCATACCCATCGTGAACAGACGTGTCCATTGGCGATGGTGTCTGGGAACGGAGGTTATAACGTGTCTATCTCCATGGGGCTCGTACTAACCTTCCACTTTCGCCTTTATCCGGTGATAATGGTGAGCAGGGTTCAGTGGGGGTAATACCTGTGAAGGGCTGTCAAGGGGTGTCTTTTCTTCCCCTTGCGGTTCTGTGGCGTCCTCTTCTGCTTCTCGTTCTTCCTCCTCTTCTACACTTCCGTCCTTTACATCCTCTACTTCTTCTGCTTCTTCTGCTTCTTCTGCTTCATTAGGTTGATTTTGGATGTTGTTCCAAAGTGGCCGAGAATCCTGCTGGTTGTCTGGTACGTACCAATATTGATCGCCGAAGGAAAATTTTGCTGCGTGCAAGGGCTGTTGTCGTAGTGGCGGTTCTTCTGGTCTGACACCTACCTGCATTGGTGGCCTGACTGTGTCGTATAACCTATTCCAGACGCCATCCGGTTCCCTAATGGGCAAGTTTTCTGAGTGCACTACTTTTGACTTACCGGATATCATGTTTTCGATAAAGTAATTTTCTTCTCCCATCTTGGACACAACTCTATAGTATGGCTTCCAGTAGAACGTGAATTTTGCAGAGTCACCAGGTTTTACTGTAGGGTCATAATAGTAGACCGGGTCTCCTGGCTTGAACTGCAATGATTCAGCGGTCCTACCTATCAATGTTTTGTTGTAGTCTCGAGACTGTTGCATGTTTTGGGTGACCTGTGTGAAAGCGTTATGTAGGTTCTCGAACACGACGGACACATAATGTTCCCCTGTGAAACGAAGACGGGGTTGTAACAGGGTATCTACTGGGAGAACAGGATCGCGACCGTACAAGATGAAAAATGGGGGGTATTTGGTTGACTCATTTTTGCTAACTCGATAGGCGGCGAGGCATGGCTGCAAAATGTTGTCCCACTGATCCTGATTGTCACTAATTTGTTTTGCGATCATCTCGTTCCTACATCCATGAAATCTCTCAGTTTTATCGTTTGATTGCGCATGATAACTAGATGTTCGTATTCTGAAAATGTCGAGTTCTTTATTAACAATGTTCAGCAGGGAGTTACAGAATTCTGTTCCTTGATCACTGATAATTGCTCGTGGACAGCCATGGCGAGGTACGAATTCTTCAAGCATGATTTGTGCTATAGTGGCAGCCGTTTTATCCGGAATTGCCCAGGCTTCGGGCTTCGGGCTTACTTCGGTTACAGAAATGTTGGGTTCGTGGGTTTCAAAACTTGTAGCTACACCTAGAACTGAGCCTTTCCGAAAATGAATGAATCGACCAGTTTCGCTCACCATGGCCCAGGGGATTTGTTTGTTTTTCGATACTTTTACTACTGCATTAGGCAGACAGATACCTGGCTCATTTTCGAAACAGGGGGATGACGGTAATAGCGTGACTACCAAGTTTTCTCCAGCCTGCTTTTTCTTTGGGAGATAACATTTGATCAGAACATCTGAATGTGGGAATACATTGACGTCCTCTGCTAGTCTCACAAGATTAATTTCTTCATGTTTTTTATCTGCCTTATGCTTTAAAGGATACACAAGGTTGCCAATAGTCAATGTGTTATGTTCAAAGTCTGAATGTGCTTTTCTAGCAGTCGTAAAGTCTACTCCAAGAATCATGCCATGCCCAAAATCGGCCAACACAAAAATTCGTGATACATGTGAACTTCTCCTAGCGTTACACGAATTTTCACAACTTTGGTTACTTTTGGGGTATGTCCTGATGCGGAAATCAAGGGTATTTTCTCAGTTTCTACAAGTTGTACTAATTTTGGGTCACATAGTTTTAGGAATTCTTCGCTCACCAGAGAGAGATGTGCACCCGTGCCCAAAAGTGTTCTGATTGGATGTGTACCTATACAAACATCTATGTAGGGACTGTTTTCGCTTACCTGAAGCACGTGGGCTAGTTGCTCCTTTTCGTCCGGTTGTGTGGCGTGAGGCGCTCCTAGTTTCCCTGCTGCGGGCGTTGCTCGGTGGTCGGCCGTGGCTATTGCTGCCGCGGCGGAGGCTGTTGTGGCCGTCTCATCTCGTGCGCTCTCTTCCTGCAGACCCTCTAGATGTGGCCCGGGATGCCGCAGAAGAAACATATCGGTCGATGGTCTGCTGTCCGCTGGTACTCAAGAGGTGATATACTCTGGGGCCAGGACCATCACCGATGCTCATCGGCGAGATTCAATGGCGGCAACTGTTCACGTGCCGCCCTGGCGCGGTGTTGGTGACCTTATCGCCCTCAGTCGGGGCCTCGCTGCATTCAGGGCCCTTAATGACTGACGGGCTCCGGTGGCGATCCGGCCCCTGTTCACCACACGGACCCCTGTATGCTAGCGTGCCACCCGGGCCGCAGCGGCGCACGCCCGTGATCTGCCAGCTCTTTGCCTGTCAGTGGCACGCAGGGCATTTTTGGATGGCGCGGCCTTATCACGGAGCCGCCTCCCGCCGAACATCACCGCCTCTCGCACCTACAATGCGTTTCGCACCAGGCTAGGGGGTTTGCAATGTCTATTGGTGAATATGAACCTGCTTGCCGTTGCTCAGCATGTGTTCACGGTTTGCATTTTCATCAAATGCTTTGGTTTTTGACGACGTGATGCGTAGGACTCAATGGGTAATGATGTGCACATATGGTCGTGTTGATGGCATGTTTTTGTATTCCACTCAGAGTACTGTTGTAATTATGCCGAATCAAACAATGAGCCACTTGTTGGAATGATTTGCGAATACCATCAAGTGAACTTGGGGACTGTCTATGTGTTCTGTGTGAACATCAGGGTGTCCCAGAAAACACTTTTTGTGGTGGTGCTCAAGACTAGCCCAGTTCCCCATCCAAGGGCGATTTGAATCTTTTCAGGGATGTCAAAATTCCTACATGCTTAAGGAGTGCGAAAGGCACTTAATAATCGAGTGCCTTTGAGCCATCTTCGCAATCACGGGCCAACATTATGCTATAAAAATGGATAATGACAGCAAACGATGTCCTCAGTGTTAACTTGTCGCCACGAAGCCTATTTCAGACCTGAGATGGTCTTGTTCCGTCTAGTTTCGGGTGGTGTCAGCAATAATGAGAAGGCAGCCAGGGCTTCAACGTTGTTGTCTAGGCCAGTGACGAATGATCTTGGGGGATGCCATGCCATTCGGTAACAAGGGCACAGAATTGGCAGATCTGGTAGATAAATCTCATTGGCTGGTTTCCAGTTCCTTCAGATCGATGCCACCCGGTAGCTTATCAACCCACTAGGTCAAAGAGAGGACAACGACGGGTATCCGTTTTGCAAAGAAATTTTGAACGCCGTGCAAAATCTGTTTAATCATGTGGTAGAAGGCGTGATCTAGCGATTAAAATCTTTGCAATCAGTGGAGCCCATTAAAATCTTTGCAATCAATCAATGTGTAGGATTTAATGGTTAATGATGTGCAAATGTGGTCGTGTTGTTGGCATGTTTTTATATTTCATTCAGAGTGCTGTTGTAATTATAACAAATCAAACAATGAGCCACTTCTTGGAATGACTTGTGAATACCCGCAACTGGACTTGGGGTTTTTCTATGCGTTGTGTGTGCACACCAGGGTGTCCCAAAAAACACTTTTTATGGGTGTGCTCAGGAGTAGTCCAATTCTCCAGCCCAGCTTGATCTCAATTTTTTTCAGCTTTGTCAAAATTTATACATGCTTAAGGGGTGCACAAAGACCTTAAAAATCGGGTGGCTTTGAGCCATCTTCGCAGTGACGGAGCCAACAACATGCTATGAAAATAGATAATGACATCGCTTTGAACGCCTGAAGCAATGGCCTCAGCGTTAACGTATCGCCACGAGGCCTATTTCAGACCTGAGATGGTCTTGTTCTGTCTAGTTTCGGGTGGTGTCAGCGATAATGAGAAGGTAGGTAGGGCTTCCACGGTGTTGTCTATGCCAGTGACGAATGACTCTGAGGATGCAGCGCCGTTCGGTAACTGGCACACGGTATTGTCCGATCTGGTTGATGAGTTCTCTTGGCTGGACGAACATCCAACTCACAGTGATTTTGAGTGGCGTGCAAAGTATGTTTATTCATGCTGCAGAAAGGGTGTACTAATGCTTAAGATCTTCACACTCACTGCAGCTGGCAACAGGGATCAGCTACAGCGGCTTCTGCGAGAGTGTGAAAGCTCATCGGTAGAAGATCAGCACTAAAAATAAGCGTGCGCCGGACATCATCCGGTGTGAGATAGTGTACAACGAGTTCAGAACAATTCCCTGAAGCAGTAACGATGTAAACTGAGGCTCAGTTTGGTATGCCAATTTATTTAATTAACTGACTTGCTTTTTCTTTCTCTTGGCCGAGGTAAAGAAAAGAATAGGGAGATCGAAGGGAGGTCTGATGGGGCTAAAGAGAGCAAAAAAGTTGTGTTCGCGTCCAAGGTATATTCACACCATTTAGACAAAACATTTGCAGGAATTAGTTTGACATTCATGCTGCCTCTAAAAAAGTTATCCCCTTCTGTGAAGACACCACTTCGATGTTTTGTTCCAAATCATAGAATCAGCATGCTAAGAGTGCGCTAACAACCTCATTTCAAGCAACCAAGACGATGCCACTGTCCATTTTAATAACGTTTTGTTTGCTGCAACAGGCCGAAAATAACTTAACACTACCAAACTTGCTACTCTTTGTGTACCGCCTACGCACGCGTCAAAATTATATAGAAATGAAACAGTTCTGAGCTCACCTTGAGCCGAAGAGCCACTCCAGTCATGAGCACCCAAAAGTTTCCAAAAAGCTTTATTCTGGGACATCCTACTGAGCAGCCTCAGACCGGCTGTTTCGCCCATTTCAGGAAAGCCGCACCCTCCTCCTCAGTGAAGTAGTTCTTCCAGTCGCCCACCTGGCCCTTGCGCATGAAGGTGCCCTCCGAGCCCACGTTTACCATGCCGGTCTTCTCCCAGTGGCGGTAGTTGGTGCCGGGGTTCTCCTTCATGGCTTCGAAGCTGGTGTGACGCGCGATACTCTCGGCCTCGGCGTCGGTCACGGGCCGCTCCAGGAAGGCGGCCACTCGACGGACGACGGCCGCGCGGTCAGCGTGCAGCTGCTCGTACGTCACGCACAGCACGGTGTCGGCGTGACGCAGGTAGCCCTGCACGTGCTCACGGTAAGGCGCGTACATCACCTCACCACGCACGAAGCTGTCGCGGAACTCCTGGAAGGTACCGCGGTACTCCGCGTAGTTAATCATGCGGAAGAAGTGGTAGTAGGAGACGCAGACGTCGCGGGGGTCACGCGAGACGTACAGCACCTTGGCGTTGCCGGTGTGCACGCTGGGGGGCAGTAGGTCGTAAGGCAGGTGCGTCTTTATGAGGCGCGGATCCTCCATGTCGTGGATGGGTGTCATCTTCATGATGTCTGCATAGGGTTCGTCCAGAAGGGGGAAGCGATACTCGAGTGTGGCGCCGCCGCCGCTGTTAACGCTTGTCTCGCCGTGCACGACCCGCCAAACCAACTCCTGTAGCCAGGTGGTGCCCGACTTGGGAAAGCTGGCTACGATGACGTCCTTGGGACGCGCCTGGAAACGTTTCCAGCTTTCCAGGAAGCCCCAGAGCAGGGGGAAGTTGCTGAGCACGGTGCCACGGTAGCGGTAGTAGCGCACCAGTGGGTACTTGTAGTTGGGGTCAGCCGGCAGCAGCTTCCAGTCGTCCGGCGGCTTCAGCTGGTCCAACATGGCCGCTATCTCCCGCTGCTGCTGTTCCCACCGTGCCGCCACTTCATCCACCTTCGTAGCCATGGCGACGCCTATTCGCGTGCCAGACACCTTCCGTCCCCAGATACCCTCAGTCGCTTTCGTTCACAGCCCCACGACGGTTGCAGACGAACGGCCGTCTCGGGGACCGTTCCGCCGCCCATGAATGTTATGCAAGCTACTGACCAGAGCACGCCTGCATCCTTGGCTCTGTACTAAGCCCCGGTGCCGCCAGGAACACGGTCGTATAAACACGACGATCTAGTTTTGATCAGAATGATCTAGTTTTGGCCTGGAAACAGACCGACTCTGTCAGCCGTTAGTAGTATAGATATCTGGTAACTATGCTTGACTTTTGATAAGCGAAAGCAACTTATGATTGGTTCGGCAGAACTGTGCTGTGTTTGACATTGTGTATCTGCCATGCAAGTACATTCTGGTGTCATATAAATTTTTGAGAACGGTGCGGGTGCTCGGGACTGGTAGGGCTGCCCAGCGCGAGGTGCGTGCAGTGGTGTGGGTTTTTAAAATTAGTTATACTAGAGAACTGTTTTTAAGCAAAACGCCACAAGCTCATTTGAGATCATAAGATCGTTTGATCACATGAGCTTTTGAAGGTCATGGTTACCAAAATCATGCAAGAATGCTCTCAGTTTTGCATTTGAATAAGCGACAAAGATCACGCTAGGCAACATTTTCCTAAAAACAAAATGTTGACCTGAGTGTAGCATCTGTCTGTTGTTTTATGTAGCATCTGTCTGTTGTTTTATGCAGCATCTGTCTGTTGTTTTAGGTAGCATTTGTCTGTTGTTTTATGTAGCATCTGTCTGTTGTTTTAGCACGCGTTATTCCAGATTTTTAACCCTCGGTCGCCTGTGCCCGCGTCTCGTCACCACGCGCAGGCCGCCGACGGCACGCGGCCCGATGCCGCGACACGCCCGTCGCTGCGGGTGTATACATTGTGCTGCAAGCGGCGCCAGATTGACCTCGATTGTCTAGACTAACATTAACAAACACGACGAGGCGCAAAGATCGTCTGTGGGCGCAACCGCGAAACAACGCCCCACGTGACCTTCACCCGTGCTCATCGCGCCGCTCACGCGCTGCAAGAACCGACCTACATATTGTGATCACGTGCTACAGAACTGTATTGTACGCAGGATCACGCGCTGATCATGCAACGCGTCGACTTGGCCTCGTGAGCATTCAGACTGTGTGCGCCACGCCAAGGGCAGAGTGCGCCCAGACAGTGATACAAAAAGGGCCCTGCGTGGTCCAGGGCCTCGGACCCGAGCGCACGCTTAGAGCCCATGTGCCGCCCGTATCATTGCCAGAAGACTCTTTTGTGAAGTTTGGTGAAGAGTTTGAATTTTAGGCGTGCTGAACTGGTGCCGTGACACGGAGAGTTGAATGTATCGCATGCTTGCGAACTTCCAACAGCGATGCGTGCATCTGGGCTCCCAACTACCGAAAGAACCACGGCACAGAAGAGGAAGATACTGCACCGCTGTGGAGCTCGACGGACTCGCCAACGGCCCCTACCGTGCTGGACAGAACTCAACGACGTCACCAGTTTCAAGTACGAGTTCTCAGCAGTCCAGCACAGGTTGTGTCAGTACCACAAAAGGTATTTTGCACAAAGGCGGCACGCACTCCACGACCATTGCTGTGAGTGCCACCTGAACAGTGCCGCCTGCTACTGTTTCACCTGTGGGTATTGCCATAACCGCGGCTGCGAGTTAACAACTAATTCTACGCCAAACTTGAACCGATGCACTTGTGCCTTGTGCCTGTCCCGTTGCTGTGGCATCAGCAGCGCAGCCATCAGCTGTCTGAGACAGGTGCAAGAGACCCACAGAGTGAGGGTAGCCGAACAAGAAAGCCGGAGATATCCGCCTGAAGCTCCCAGAAGCGCCACCTACAACCAAACATCAACCGAGGCCCTGAACGAGGCACACGACCAACGCGTGTCGGCTTCCGCCCCCGCCAGCCCTGAAGCACGGTCTGAGCCTCAGCTCCCGTCTGCTACCATCAACGACGAACGGTCAGAGCCTGAGCCCCTGTTGCATCACGAAGCACGGTCTGAGCCTCCGCTCCCGTCGGCCCAGCATAGCAGCCCGCGAAGGACTTCCGCCCGGCAACACCTCGGCCGGCCGATATTAATCGACTGCGACCTAGACGTCAGCGATCTCAACGGGACTTTCAACGACTTGTTGGCCGCAAGCTCGTGTTCGCCGTTCGTACTCCATGGTATCGCGTCGTCCCGGGGAAAAAGCGACTAGTGAACGACTGGCCAAACAGCATCGACCTCACACCCAAAAACGTACTGGCTGACCCTCTTTTGCTTCTTTTCTTGTTTTATTAGCTTGCAACATGGCTCGTAATCTCGAAGACGTTAGCTTGTCTCTGGATCCAAACGCGCAGTACAATGTGAAAAGCATAAATTCCCTCCGAAATCAAATGACCCTTCTAATCACTTTGGGTATGGAGCATGTGAAAGCTACATTTGACGGAACAAGTGCGGAAAGTCTGACCCGATGGCTTACCATGGTAGACAACACCCAAAAAGAATGCAACACAGATAAAAAGACGACTTTGCATGCCGCAGCCCGACTACTACGGGGACTCGGTTTTGACTACTACGGAGAGGTAGCGGACACCATCGTAATTTGGGACCATCTAAAACAATTCGTGATACAAAAATTCCAGCATCTTGACGACTTCTCAAACGCCAAACTAAAGCTCAGTATCTATACTAAGCGACCAAACGAGTCTTTTCCCCAATATGGCTTTCGCCTCATGACGCTCGCCAAGGAGGCTTACAACTAGGAAATAGATACCCGAAATGCCCGTAAGAACAGCATGGATATTTTTATCAACGGAATAACGGACAAGGACCGTCGACATCACTTGACGCGGAAACGACCGACTAACGTCAACGAAGCTGCGCATTTAGCCATGGAGGAAATAAAACTACGAGAAAAAATAGCAGGCAGGGACAAAAGAGACGGAACAGAACCCATGGACGTGAATACCGTGGCCCAACCTACCCCCCCCCCCCCCCCTCCGTCCCCCACAACAGACTGAGGTGGATAAACTAAGTGAATTCGTAAAGGTCATGATCCTGACCCAAACGCAGAAGCCACCCCCACAGGTAAACCCACAGCAAACCCAGGAATACAGGTACCATCCACGGCCACCACGTGAGTATGGGAGACCAAACTACCGGCATCCAACGAGACCACCACGTGAGTAAGAGCCCCAGCGCCGACCACAACAGCAGCCAGTGAATTCACGCCCAGCTCCGCAGGAGTACCAGCGGACAGCAGACCATCGACCGATCTGTTTCTTCTGCGGCATCCCGGGCCACATCCAGAGGGTCTGCAGGAAGAGAGCGTACGAGATGAGACGGCCACAACAGCCTCCGCCGCGGCAGCAACAGCCACGACCGACCACCGAGCAACGCCCGCAGCAGGGAAACTAGGAGCGCCTCACGCCACACAACCGGACGAAAAGGAGCAACTAGCCCACGTGCTTCAGGTAAGCGAAAACAGTCCCTACATAGATGTTTGTATAGGTACACATCCAATCAGAACACTTTTGGGCACGGGTGCACATCTCTCTCTGGTGAGCGAAGAATTCCTAAAACTATGTGACCCAAAATTAGTACAACTTGTAGAAACTGAGAAAATACCCTTGATTTCCGCATTAGGACATACCCTAAAAGTAACCAAAATTGTGAAAATTCGTGTTACGCTAGGAGAAGTTCACATGTATCACGAGTTTTTTTGTGTTGGCCAATTTTTGGCATGACATGATTCTCGGAGTAGACTTTACGACTGCCAGAAAAGTACATTCGGACCTTTGAACATAAAACATTGACTATTGGCAACCATGTGTATCCCTTAAAGTAAAAGGCAGATAAAAACATGAAGAAATCAATCTTGTGAGACTAGCAGGGGACGTCACTGTATTCCCACATTCAGATGTTCTGATCAAATGTTATCTCCCAAAGAAAAAGCAGGCTGGAGAAAACTTGGTAGTCACGCTATTACCGTCATCCCCCTGTTTCGAAAATGAGCCAGGTATCTGTCTGCCTAATGCAGTAGTAAAAGTATCGAAAAACAAACAAATCCCCTGGGCCATGATGAACGAAACAGGTCGATTCATGCATTTTCGGAAAGGCCAAGTTCTAGGTGCAGCTACAAGTCTTGAAACCCACGAACCCAACATTTCTGTAACCGAAGTAGTTCAAACCTCCCAGTCCAAAGATAGCAGCTCTTAAGAAAAACTTGAAGCCTCTAATTTAAATCATGTCCCTGATGCACAACGCCAGCCACTGGTTAAGCTTTTGACCAAAAACGTAGCTGTTTTCGTGCAAAAAGACGTTGAATTGGCCATAACAGATGTAACGGAAATACGGGTCAACATACAAAACCATTCTCCCATTCGACAAAGGCCTTATCGCCTTTCATTGGTTCATAGATAAATTTTAGACAATCAAATCCAAGAGACGCTGGATGCCAAAGTGATCAGACGTAGCAAGTCTCCATTGCCTTCCCCAGTCATCATTGTTCCTAAGAAAGATGGCTCTCATAGAGTATGCATAGACTTTCGGAAAATAAATGCTGTAGCCATAATCCCAGCCCCCAGCATCCCCGCCACGGAAAACATCATGTACTCACTTGGAAAATCAAAGTTTAGAACATGTCTGGACCTAAAAGCCGGATTTTGGTAAATACCTTTTAAGAAAGAGGACAAGGAGAAAACGGCTTTTGGGACAGATTTCGGTGTATTCGAATTTAACAGAATGGCATTCTGCCTCGTCGGAAGTCCATCAGTCTTTCAAAATCTCATGAATGCAGTTTTAGGGGATGTCAGAAAATTTGCACTTGCATTTATATATGACATCATCGTGTTCAGTGACTCCTTCGAAAAACATCTGAAACACCAGGAGAAAGTGTTCGACAGGCTCCGAAAAGCGAACCTCATACTCAAAATTGCAAAATGTGAATTTTTAGAGAGAAGCTATACTATCTTAGCCA